TACTAGAAGCATGTCGAAGAAATACAAAAATAATGATTTTTTCGTTTGTGTGTGTACAATCAAATGATTTTTTTATTTTATTTCTAGTTATATGATACGTGTCAACATATGTTTAACAAGCATCACACGACCTATACCAAAGCATTATACCAAAAAAAAAAAAACACAATTTAAAAATGAGAATAGGTGTAACAATGATCAAAAGACTTGCTCACAGTGAAAGCAAGAAGCATCACACGACCTATAAACTACACTGTTGAAAGATCGATGAAATTGATTTTTGGTTTATTTTTGCCCAAAAAGTATATATCTTTGTTGCTTAAGGAACATTCCATGCCCATAAACAGTTCTTGAGTAATGATCGGAAGATTTTTTTTTTGTTTTGTTTTGCGTTTTGGTATATATCCACAATGGTTCTTGACTAGCTTGAACTGTAAAGTCTTGACAAAGCAAGCAGCTGTCTTTCTGGTGATTCTTTAGTGTAACGATGGAGAAAGCTTGTCCTTGGTAACATTCTTCGTAGTTCCCCATTACGAATTTCAAACGAAACTCTACTTGAGGGCGCGGTTAGTGCATTCAAAGAAGTTTTCCTTACAATGATGCATTGATTCTCGTTCCTTCACCTTTCTCTGTACATAGCTCCTTAGCCACGTGAGACCTAACATTAGTGCAATCTCACACCTGGACCCATCTCCTCTCTTGTTCTCATAACCAAGTATAATTCGCTATTCTTGAACAATCATTCATTCACCGGAAGCTTTTTAATCATTTGCTCAAATTACTCCCTAGATTCGTCCTACATTTTCTCTCAATCTCCACCACAGTTCTTAGTCGTCGATACAGAAAATCCAAGTCGAAAAAGGGGAAAAAAAAATAGGGCCTTGTAAAATTTGTACCCAATCGAGCGGCCCAAAAAGCTTATTTGGCCCATATATATTAAACCGAGTCCATATAAATTTAATAAAAATCCAGCTATTGAGACACGGTTAAACCGCGGTTCAGACACGGGTTTAACGCGGTTTGGCACGCATCCCTAGGTGATTTTATGTCGGTTATCATGCCAAACCGTTTTTTTTTCCCAAACCGTGTCCGACTTAAAAAAAAAAAAAAAACTGCGGCCCGTTTGAATGGTGTACACAAAGACTGCATCCCGTTTACATCTCCGTTACGCTTAATCAGGCTTCTTATGGGGCCCTAAAACGACGTCGTTTTCGAAAGTATTAGGAGAAAACCCTTTCTCTCCCGACACGTTCATATTCTTCGTGGAGTTTACGATTATGGTTACAGAGAGCAGTAATGCCGGTTTCGACATTATACAATCGATGAATTTTAATGTGAATTTTAATACAATCGATACCTTATCTCGATCGATGAATTTTAATATGGAACTAAGAATTGTTTGGTTTAGACTAGTAATTCGGTTTGAAGTTAAAAAACATATACCGGTCTATACCGTAACATAACCGTATACCTGTCTATACTCCGGTATAAAGATATGTGGTTTTCCCATTCATAGATTAATCAAGTTCACCTCTAGTTTGAAATCAATACTTTTTAATAGATTAATGATTCCCCGTACTATACGCGGTTAATATTTCTTGAAAATCCGACCAAAAAAAAAATATTTCTTGAAAATCAAATAAATTAAAAAAATATCAGTTCATGGTTAAAATTGCTAATGATGTTCAATTTCGATTTCAATTCAACTTTTTTTAATATGATAGAAATTTTTTTTTTTCTGTTTGTTGGCATTAATTCTAATAACATTAACAATAAACTCATTTAAATTTTTTTTTTAATCAATTTTCATTTACAATTTTAATTAACAAAAAACAATTAAATTAATCTTTAGAATTGGGTTTTAAATCATAATAACTAAATAAGATTTGGTCTTCTCTGCATTATTTCTCAACATTAATAGGTCGGAAATAATATTGTTTTGACCTTTTCCCCTTCATTTCTTCGTCAAAATTTCTTTTGGTTTCGGTCTGTTTCCAAGGGTCGGTCCTATGAGTTTATAATCCTATCCATTCAGAAATCACAAATTTGGATTATACACAATCAAAACCACACATTTATGTCATATCACTCAACACAAAAAGACAAATCATACATGACCACATTCTCTCTATTATCCACACCTCATCTATCAAACCATATCAAAACATTACATAACCGAATCGAACCTAATCGTAATCTCAAACCCAAAATAACCCAATAGATTTTGCGTGATACAATCAATACCTTCTCTCAATCGATGATAAAATCTCACTTTTTTTTGGTTTAGACTTTTAAAATTCGGTTTGTACTAAAAAAAAAAAACATAACCCGGTCTAGTACATAACCGAATAACCGATCTATTATATACGGTACAAAAGAAAACGATAAAAAACTGAAAAAAAAAGAAAAGAAGAAATTAGAAAAAAAAAAAAAAATGTCAGAGGT